TGTGGGGACCCAACTTTGGGTCCTTTGGAAGTGCCAGGCGGGAGCAGCCTGGCCTGCCCCACGTGTAGCCCCAGCTGCAGCCCCAGGTCTCAGCCCCTCCTGGCAACAGGCTCGAGGGCAGGTGTGATGAGTTGCCCAGGAGGCACCAATCTCCCTCCTCCTCCTCGCAGAGCCCCGTTACTTAACACCTGCTGGAAAAGGCTGGGTTTTCTAGTGTGTTGTGGGGAGCTGCTGGGGGAGCTCTGCTGTCCTGGGGAAGCGTGAGCTCTCCGGCTCGGCCGCAGCGGGATGGATCCCACGTGGGGCCGCTGCTTCCTGGACGCGGCGGCTCTGCAGTGAGTACTTGAACATGTGTCCGTGGAGTGTTTCTATTCCGGTGTGTCCCAGGCTGGGAAAATGCAGCTCTGCTGTTCAAACAATGGGCTGCGGTGTCCAGCTGGCCGCGGCGCTGCGCGGACGTGGCTGGAGGAGTCTGTGCTGCTGGGAGGGCTCTGGGGACAGGAGCTGTCCCAGGAACGGGCCTGGGGCTTCAGCTTTGGTGTTTGGGAGCACTTGTGAGTAGAAGCTCGGGCTGGATACAGAGCCTTTGTGTGCAGGGAAGGTCAGCGCAGACCCATTTCATGTCTGGCTCTTTGTGCATCGAAGCATTTAACCTGTTTTTCTTAAGACTCCTTGCAAACACTTGGAGCACTAAATGCACCTGCAACCTTTTCTTTCTTGGGAGTTGAAAGAGAGGCAGGAGAAGTGGATAAATGTCCATTTGTGACTCGTTAGCCATTCCATTTCCTATCTACTCGCTGTTCTTCCTTCCTCCCCGTGGAATGTGTGCATGTGGCGTTCTTCTGCGAGCTCTTCTCCCGTGAAATAGGCCAGGAAATGCATGGAGCGGTTGCAGGGTGCCCTTCTGTTTGATCTGTACAAGCCTGATCGCTGCTCAGAATGGCCAGTTGGCAGCTAAGATAATCAGCCTACAGGCAGTTTAAATGCTCTTGTTACAGTGCATTTTATTCGTCACTATTTAATAAGTAATGAATATGGAAAGCTCGGAGCGTGGTCTGTGCCCGTGCCGTCTCCTGCTGTGTTCCTGTCAACTTAGATAAGTTAAACTGGGTAGAATCGGGTTGGTTTGCGGATGCCTGTCCACTGAGCAAGAGCTAGATGCCATGGGAAGTGCAGTTATTTCACAGAAGTGATCCTCTTCTGGCTTGACTTGATGGTGCATTGGCCATTCCTTGCATAAAGCCAGGGTGGCTGTGGGGGGACAGCGGGCGCCCCATGTGCCCACGCTGGGGACATGGGAGAGGACAAGGGCTGCCCCACGTCCCTCCTCACGTGGCTAAGGCAAGAGAACAGCTTGCAAAGGTTTAAAATCCGACATTCTGCTCCACGGAGAAGTTCCGTGGCGTCTCGGTGCGTCTGCATCTTGTTTTGTGGCTGGGGGAGCAGATTGTTGG